GAGTGGCTGGTGGGTTTGAACCGCCAACCTTCTGGTTAGCAGTCAAATGCTTTAGGCACTACACCACCAGAACTCCTTAGAGGCCTTTTACAGTTGGTCTCAAAGGGTTCCTCCTCCCTCTCCCTTCCTTCCCTCCCATCTGCAATACTAAAATGGAGGCAGGGAAGAAATGCTGGGGTTTTTAGGGGGAATATCTACATGGGATGTAGTCATGCTAGTTGTTATGGCACTTGTGAACACTGACAATTTCATGTCTTCCTTTCCAGTAAGAAAGGGGAATTCACACATACACATTTTGAGCCCTGACTAGGTACCAGACACCATGCTAAAATCATTGTACTGTTTCCAGAAACTAGGCTGGAGCATGGAGGCAGGGCCACCCTGTAGGGATGAAGTGTAAGGGGGTGGTCTGAGGGGTGGAGGCGAACTCTTCAGAGCCTGAGGGTGATTTCTGGAGGGTTCTGGTGCTCCTAGAAGTATATGTGGGTGGGCATGGGTAGTTTCCCTGTGTTTGCCAGAGTGACAGTGGAGTGGCATGCCAGTTTCACCCCCTAGGGCAGAATGAGAAATAGGGACTAACATTCCCTGGGAAGACCTTGCTCTTAGAATCAGGCAGGAATTCTAGCAGCATGAGTGGGACTAAGAGAAAGTGCAGTTCCACCAAAATATAGAGTCTCCCCTCCACAGGACAGCAACACCCATGTCTGGTCAGCAACGTGAGTTTCTAGGCTACTCAAAGCCCACCATTGGGTTGCTATGAATTAGGATTGGGGCACCCAGTCCATCCCAGTATCGTTGCATTCAAATTGTGCTCTGGTGCACTCAGCAACCTAATGGGACCTTGGACAGTGACACGCCACCCACTCCCCTTAACATTTCAGTCAGAGAATCTTGGGAAGGAAACAGTTAAGAGAAATATTCAAAACACACTGGGGCCCTGCCTTCCACCTTTTAAACAGTCAGAACTTAGGCCATATGCATGAGATCTGTAAAGCCACTTCAGATGGAAAGCGCCCGGCTATCAGAGGCGACGTGTTATTGTTTTATGCTTAGGACATGCAGTACCTTGTTCAACATGAAGCATGGACAGGGTTCTACCAAATCAGCTTAATCTCTCAATTTGTGCCACACGGTGTTCTAATTGCTACTGCCTGCAGATACCAATTTTTGAAAGTAGCGTTCACCCTCAGGAACATTTCTTAATGTTTCCTTGCCCATGTTTTCATTAGAAGAGGCCAACCGTTGCCCATCGCCCACTGTGAAAGATATAAAATGTTGGGCAGGATGTCTTTGCCATGGGGGCAAGGCTCATTTCGCTTTTTTTTTTTTCCATCTGTGTCACATGTAAAGCCACGGTGGTGGGTGGGGGTGCTTCGGTACCACTGGGCAGACCTCTCAGACGTTTTTAAAATCTTGTTAGGAATCCAGTCAAATTGAACATTCAAAAGAGCTGGGGGAAGTGCACATGGAAGGGAATGGGGACCAGTGCATCAGCCAGCCTCTCAGGCCCTCGAATTCCCATTGCTCGCCTCTTGCCTACCCTCCTCCACCTTCATTAGCTTGCGTATATGAAAGGCTCCAGGCTTTAAGCACCATCTGGCAGAGCTCTCTCCCTCCTCCCCTCCTTCCTGAGTGGGTGTTGAGAATGGGGAAAACATCCATCCATGTCATGAGCCATTGTTGACTTTTGGAGACCTCAAACTCAGCCACTATTACAAACACAATTAGAATCCTGGCTATGGCACCAAAGGAGACCCCATCCCCATCAGCCAGCTCAGGTGAATGTTTCAAGAATAAACTGAGACATCCCTTGACCCTGAGCACTTTGCTTTTGTAAGACTGAAAAAACAAACAAACTCACTGCCGTCAAGTTGAGTCCAACTCATAGCGACCCTGACTCACAGTGACCCTTGGGTTTCTGAGATGGTATCATAGTGGAAGTAGATTGCCCCATCTTCATTCCGAGGAGTGGCTGGTGGGTTTGAACCACCAGCCTTCTGGTTAGCAGTCAAGTGCCTTAGGCACTATGCTAACAGAGCTCCTTTTGTAAGATTAGGTCCAAGCAACTACTTTCCCACCCACTAATTACAGCTCAGATCCCTACTTGACTCAACTACTTTTCTGTCTTGGTCCAGGCTCTTAATATCCCTGTGCCCCAGATTCCTCTTGAATATGACTTCAACACCTAGAGATGTGTGAGTGAGCAACACAAGCAAGAACTAAACCCTATAGAAAATCCTGAGGATTCCTCCTAGTTGGTGTCTTCAAAAACTGGCCACAAAATAAAGCAGAACCACAGCAACAACCAAACACAAGGCACCTTCGATCAAACAGTTCTACTAGAAAATTTACCTTCCTTATTGGAACTCATTGGACAAGGGTGCAAAGATAGATGTGTAGACAAAGATGATCGTTGCAATGTTGTTAATGTAATTGGGAAAATGGAAATGAATGAACCACATGCAAATATCACATTTGTTAGTAATGCTAACAAAACAAACAAACAAAAGCAGTTCCTGTAGAGTTGATTCTGCCTCTAGGCGACCCCAGGTGTGTGAGAATGAACTGTGCTCCAGAGGGTTTTCAATGGCTGATTGTTCTGAAGCCAAACTAATAACTATTTGCATTGCCCAAGGGATTCCACCATTCATGCTATTACCTTACAATGGAATGTTCTGTGGCCATTTAGAAAGAAAATGTTTGGCTCTAGTCATTGCTACAAAGTATATTCATAACATTTTAATGACAAAAAAAGCAGCTTAGTTAACAACGTGTTGTGAAAATAATGTGTAGGTGAAGAGAAAAAAAAATCCTAGAAAGAAGTACATCCAAATGGTGGTGTCTGGATATTATGAGTAAGGCGATATTTTTTCCCCACCTTGTCTACATTTTCTCCACGTTAAAAAATAGTATGGAACGGTTGCACAACTTGGAGAATGTAATCAATGTCACCAAATTACGTGTAGAAATTACAGAATTGGTGTATGTTTTGTTGTATATATTTTCTCACACACACACACACACACACAAAAAAAAAAAAACAAAACAAGATGCAATAAGAAATATTATGTATTGACCTGAAAATAAATTTAGCTACTTCTGTTTTGCAAACAGTAAATAAACCAACACATGCTATGGCTGTCTAACTGCCTTCTAAATCTTTCCTTCTCAGATACTTCTCAGATGCCTCCAAATCAATGGCGTTTATCTTCTCAGTGGAGAAAGCCACAGCCTGAAGGCTCTCTTGCAAATGGTGGAGCCAGCTGCAGCTTGAATGTGTCTGGTCCCATGGCTATGGATCCGTACCCACTATCCCTGCCAGGGAGCCCCTCTGCACGGCCCAGAGAGCCATGGCATTTCTCATCCCTAGCCAGCCGGAGCTCCCCAGAGCCTGGTTACCCTCATGCCTTCCCAGGTGGCCACCTGGCTCCAGAGCCCAAGCCTGATGGGAAATATGAGCCTCTTCTAAGTGTCCTCCAGCAAGAAAGATGCCTAGCCTGTCCTCAGGAGCCTGCCACGAGGGAGGACCACAACTCTGCCCAGATAGCTGGAAGAGCAGGATTGCTCCTCGACCTGCCTCCTGGCTCTGCGCACTGTAAGGACACGTCTATACATACTGGGAGGATTGCCTCTGATTGGTTGTGGTGGAGAGTTAGTTGGCATGAGATGGGGGGCTAAGACAAATTGCTGCCACTTGGGACATGGGACTGCTGAGGGACAGAATGTTCTGCTTAAATTTTTCATATAGCTTCATAGGCTTCATTGACATTCACAGTTTAATTGCCAACGAGTTGCAGACACAGGCAGCCAGATGCACTTGACCCAGAATATTCACCCCATTCTATTGACTTGGCCTTACTACCATAGAAAAATGATGAACTGCTGCCTAAAATCGTAGAGTCCTATATACCCACCAGCCACTCCTCGGAAGGAGGGTTGGGCAATCTACTTCCGTAGTGATACTGCCTCAGAAACCCAAGGACGGGTCACTATGAGTCAGGTCTGACTCAACGGCACTTAACAACAACAACAACATATGCCCCTCACTGTGAACCATCAAACTCATCCTTTTTAAACACACCTACAGAATGAAACTTGAGCCTCAAACAGATTGGCAACTTGTGATGAGGCAGGCTCCTGGGCAAAAACAAGGACAATCTATACTAAACATCTGTTCTACACATTAACATTCAAAGCGGATGGGGAGGCAGCCCCATGGCTGCCTCGCTGCCCGCTCATGCCTGTGCACTAGGCTCCCCCTTCTGTTTCCCTCATGTTCCTGCTCCCTAACCACCACCCCTCCCACTGGACCAAAAATGCCCTTGAGGCTTACTCACTCTTCCGTTCATTCAATCACCCAACAAATATTTAATTAGTGCCTTAAAAATCCCATTGCCGTGGAGTTGATTCTGACTCATGGCAACCCCATGTGTGACAAAGTGGAACTGCTCTATAGGGTTTCCTTGGCTGTAATCTTAACAGAAGCTAATTGCTAGGCCTTTGTTTACCAGTACTGCTAGTTGGGTTTGAACTGCCAACT